AATACACTACCATGAAAAAAGTAGGGACAGTTTTTATGTTTCAAACACATATGGGAGTATAGTCAAGAAAATCTGCTCCCTGTATATAACATAGCCACTTCTATCTCTAAACACTGACAAAGACTTCTCTACTTTTTTTCTTACCCTCTATGCCAAGGTTTCTGAACCTTGGCACTATAGGAATTTTCAACCAGATAATTCCATGTTGCAGGGGCTGTGTTCTCCACTAGAGGATGTTTAACAGTATTCCTGGCTTCTATCCACTAGATACCAGTAGCATTCTCCACATTGTGACAAGCAAAAATGTTTCCAGATATTGCCAAATGTCCACTAGGTGAAAACCTTTGCTCTATGCCAGCTCACATCTACGGTCTTAAAACTCTGTTTACAGCTGGTCATTTTCAGGAAGCTGCTAATAATTCTTTCCTTTGGCACTACACTTATCCACACATAACTCCTACGTGTTTAGAAGGATTTGATCCATTTTGTCTTTTCCAACTTCACTACGTACGTCTTGATGGCAAATGCAGGGTTATCTTTTTAAAATATCCCCACTGTATTTTATGTGGCACATTTTTTATTCAGTGATGTCATCACTAAGCTTCCCACACACACACTGGTTTATGAATAACTAATAGTAAACCAATAAATAACTGCGCCAAAATCATAATAGTGAAAGTGAAGTTTTAAAATAAAACAATTAAAAACGGCACAAGATTATGACATTGGTAAGTAAATGGACCCTGACATACTCTCAAAACTGTAATAACTGATTCATATATAGCTAATTAAACTTCATGGTGTTCTACGTTTCTTAACAAAAAACTCCTAAGAAGAGATTCATTATAAGACAGCAAAAGTATTTTGCCATAATTTTCAACAAAATTCAAAATTCAAAATTGTTCTGATTTGCACAGCAACTTAATCTAAAAACACATCATGTAATAAAAATGAAGGAAACCTACCACATCATGTGGATAAAATCGAACTGAGGTAGAACTGGATACATGAGAATCCGTGTCGCTAAAGTAAAATTAAAAAAGATTTTAAAGAATAAACAACTTGTCAAGGAGAAAATAAATAAATTCTTTAACAACTGGATATTTACAGTATCTTCTCTTTTCTATGTAAACTTTAAAATGCAAAATACCATTTTCCTAAAGTTGTGATTAAAAGCATAGCCTCTGGGTCACAGTGTCTATATTCAAATCTCTTCATCAATTGAATGAGATCTTAGACATCTTATCTAACCTTTTTTATACCTCAGTTTATTTACTGGTAATATAGGATAACAGTAGGTTTATCACAAGGTTCTTGTGAAAAGTGTTTAAGAAAGCAATTAACATACTGCCTGGAACCATAATAAATTGTAGCCAAGAACATGACAATTCAGTTTCCACAATTCAGTCAAGTTTAGATTTCAAAACTCGAGACCTTAACACACTTATGGGGTAAGAAACTGTTCTTGTCTTGAATTATATTAAACATAATTGTTTCTATTGCTCCATACTACTGTTTCTGTTTACAAAATCATCTAACACTCCAATTTAATCATTTTTGACACGATGAATTCTGAAAAGGAGCTTAAAGAGTATAATTTTCTAAATGTTCTATCTTTTCAGCATGCTAAGTGACTACAAGATCCTATTGCTTTAAATGGCGCCTTAAAACTTAAAAAACTGAGTTGCCCATAGATGTGTAACATTCAAATGGATGTGTCCATTATTAAACAGAAGTCCTAAAAAAAGAATCAAATGACCCTAGTGAAAACAGTGACCTAATTAATCAATAATGGATTTCAAAGCAGCAACTTGCATACATGAACAATAATATTAAAAATTTTACAAAAAATTTTATTACATTCTAAACTATAATTATGTCATATGATCAAGATTTCTAATTTCTTATTTGCTTTTCTTACAACTTCTCTGTTATCTTACATAATTCCTCGCTAAGGGAAGGAGAAAAAAGAAACTAAATGTAACATCTGACCTATAATTTAAGAAATTCTTTCTTCTGGTAGCTGGTAAACAAATGTTAAAACAAAATGAAAGAAGACCATTTAAGAAGATATTTGACCAAACTCTTACAAGGAAATAAAATTTTTAAATTACACACACAAAAAAAGTATTGATGGGCATGAACTTAGTTGTGTAAATATTTTTCTAATAAGCTTTTTTACATATATATAGACATATGTGTGTATGTGTGTATACACATATGTGTGTACATACAGTTAAATTTGCAAATGTGCAACCTCTGTCCTACTATAAGATCTGCCGGAAATTTTTACTTACTTTTTAAAAGCAGAATAGCTTTTACGAATGCTTTCTTTTTCCCATAGCAACAAATTCTACTTTAACTCTCTAGAGACAAATGCACTATGACAAATTAGTTAAGGCAACACAAACAAATGTTTTCAAAACAAAATATATGCAAGTACACATACTCTCCTAATAAGATTTCACACATACCAGATATTGGATGCTCTTCTTGCTGCTGGTTCAAAATTCACAAGTGACATGTCACAGCCGCCAGTCTCATAAAGTGTAGAAGAGAATTTACCTAGCAAATAAATGATTTTTTTAAAAAAAGCAATTAGAATACTCAGACTGTTTCCTTCAAAATTCGTGTTATAATTTTTTAAAATGTACTATAACCTCTTTTTTCCAAAATATCTTTTAAAAAATGATCAGCACATAATTCAGCATGATGTGAATTGAAAAGGAATGCTAAACAGTAGGGCAATATATATAATCAGATATTAAAAGTGAGGGATTGATGTCAGCTTTATAATACCAGTCTTCTCTTTTCTCCTCCCAGCACATCCTTAAGTAATCACATGACTGAATTTAATGATGTTTAAAAGTCACCTGAGCACAAGTTGTGAGTGGCCATTTGAAAAGCTGCTTAAGTTTTAAGACAGCTCAAACTGCAAGACAACAAATTTATATAATTACCTTCAGTTTTTTTTTTTTTTAAGAAAAAATGAAGACTGTCAAAATGGATGTAAGGAAATTCAATGAATTAAGTATAATGTTGGTGATATGTACAGTACTTAATGAACATTACTATTTGTATGATTCTGCAAGAACTCTGAAAAAATTTAGGACCACCATTTGCTATAGTCGATAATCACTACTACAAAACTAATAAAAGGCTTAGAAATTACATTGACTGCAAAGAAATATAGGTCAAAAAAAACTCATAGTAAACTATTAAGATAAAATAATTTCTGATAATGAAATTTAAAAAATCTGTATATTATCTGAAATGCACACTTCTCCTTGACTATCTATGATAGCCATATCAATGGTGAGTTAGGGAGCATAAAAAAATGAATATAAATTTCTAGTATGTCAATGAGAAGATGTACAAAACTCTAAAACCATGTGGGTCTAGTCCAGGCTACTTTCTGACTATTTATGAGGGTTTTATTAGTTGGAATTACTGAGGTTATAAATATGAAAAATCTTAAAGGGCAACTTCACCTTCATAGTAGGGCTAAAAGATTTCTCTTCCATGACTACAATAAAAACAATATGCAATAAGGACTTTTATTTAAGTGATATCCTTGAAAAATGACAATAAATACTCCCCATATTAATAATATAACTAAGGGTTTACAGAACATTTCAACAATCACTTCATTATTTAAAAGGCCTAGAATCAGAAAAAGTACTTTATTTAATGGGATTATTAATAATGGATCAGACAGAATATGCAAATATTTTATTGTGGTAGTTTCTGTAGTAGAAACGTTTTTGTCAGAATGATATATTCCTGAGATAATTTCAAAAAAAAAGCATTCTGAGAAATAGTTCATTTGCTGTTTTTCAAGGGAGAATTATTCAGCATGTGGACTATCTAAAAGTGCTTTTTACTCTCCTGTCTTTTAACCATGAGTCATTCACTCTTAGCACATCTAATGGAACCCAAATTAATGAACTAAAATGAAATGATACAAGCTGTCAATTTGGCTACTTCTTAGATGTAGTACTAAAATTTTTTTGAAGTGGAATGATTGGTTGCAGAAATTGTTAGTGAAGGAAAAAAGAAAACAAATGAAAATACTGGCTTGACTGAATTTAAAAAAAATTTTAATTGCAATTTTTATGCTCTGCTCTTTCCTCATTTATCATGGATATCAAAGATTGGCTATGCCATTATAATTAACTTACATTAATAGAAATAAGAAACATCAAAATCACAGACTGCATACATTAAGAAGAATTATAAATTCATGTTAAATTACTAAGCCACAGAGTAATAAAGAGCTGGGAAGGCCTGGCTATTGTTTGTGAAATCCAGTAAGAATGGAATGCAGAAATGTGTTTATATCGCGAAATTTGTCTTTTAGAAATGTTAATTCTATATTCAATAGCATTTAAATTACTGAAGTATATGCTGAGCATTTAAGCATTCCATGGGATTTTTAGTAATATAAGTCCTATTCTTTAGTAATATAAGTCCTGAAAATATTTATAGGCAACTGAAATCAACTAAAGATGTTACTCTTTGAAATTTTCAAATGGAAAAGTAAAAGAATATTAAATCACTATCAAATTATATCTTTTATATTTAGATGTCTAATATGAAACTTTTATAGAAATAGTTATGTTTTAAGTAAATATAAACATAAAAATAAAGTATGTCCACCAAAAAGCTTTTTAGACAGAAAGAAAGCTGGAAATTGGGCAGTTTTACTACATAAATCTATTACTCTACAAATCAATGACTAACCCGAGTAATAAAATTTAGAAATTTAAACAGAAGCATACAACATGTCTAAGAAAAGAGTAGCTATAATTTTAACAAATGTGCATGATTTTAACAGTGCTTTTTATTTTTTCCTAAGAAGCTTTTGTCTACCTACTAACTGTAAGAATATGTTCAGGTTCCTAAAAATATACATGGCACATGTCAGAACAAACCTACATTGTATGAAGGCTTCATGGTATATTCTCAAGTTTACCAAAAGAATAGATTCTATGTCTCTCTTATATCTTTGGGCTTGACAAGTAATAGCACTTCCGAAACAACACATTTTTATTCAGAAAATAAGCAACTCAGAAAAAAAATTATACTAAAAAATATTCCGCTTAAGGTTTCCTTGGAAAACTTAGTAAACATTTCAATGTATTAATATGATAATTTAAAGGCATCTTTAAAAATAACCAAAACAGAAATGAGTACATATTGCTATTGGTTTATAAAAATGAAAAATAACTTAAATATGTACAAATCTTCTTAGCATGCATAACAATTTTACATATATCTCATTTGAGATTAAAACCATCATCATAGTTAACCTTTGGATCCAAAGTAAAATGTGCCCTTATTAATAACCTCATTTTAATGTTCTTCTATATTAAGAAAAATACTTCAATTTAAATATTATTTATAATGAACATAAATTGGGAGAAAAAGCAGAACATCAATATGTCTTCCTCACATAAATTATGATTATGAACTAAGTCATTTCATCATATTTCAACTCCCAAGTCATAATTAATTATATCTAACACAATGACTATCACAATTTAAAGAGAAAAAAATCAATTTCTGACCAAAAAACAAAATGGAGGCTGGAATCTCAGACTTAATAATGATATTAGCTATGACATAGCATCTCCAAAGATAAAGAAAAAAAGTTGAGCTATCTGGTATTTCTCAGTTTTGAATATTCAGTAATAACTGCTATTGTGAACGAAAATTTAATTACACAAAACCATTTTTTGAGGTAGGAGAATTTCAAAGTACTAACCATAAATTTATGAATTTATAATTTACAAAAAATTTATAAATTTTTATAAATTTTTAAAATTTATAAATTTTACTCAACAAGAAGATGAATAAAACTGGATACCGACTTAAGGAACAAGGGCACTTGAAGCATGTGCCTGAAGGCATAAATGACACAGCAAACAAATTCAAATAAACACTGGCAAAATACTGACAGAAGACATGAGAAATGAATGAATGGAGTTCTCTAACTTGTCCTATCAATAAAAATCCTCACCATATGCAAATGCATAGATTGTAAGACCAGGGCTCAACCTAAGAAACTCAACTATTTTGTTTTTGATGTCATTCTGATTTTACCTATGTATCTTAGAAGGAGGTGGTTACTAGAAAGACAAATCATCATCTGTAGGGTTTCTCTTATCTTCTCAGTACCAACAACATGAAACCTCTTAAATTTCCTGGAAGATTTTCTTCTGCGGACCCCCTCTCCAACCCCTCATTCCTGTTTACTCTTGTCCAAGCCTAATCCTGATACACTGTTTTAACTGACTTCTCATTTTTCTATGGCAGGAAAGGGCTACAAAAGCAAAGAAATACAAGGGAAGCAACTTTATTATCAAGGGTTTTAGAAGGCTGTTAAAGGACACAAACATCTATCTAAATAGCTAATTTAAACATTCTACAAAAAGTTCTTATTTCTGATGTGATAAGTATTATATTCATAATGCTATCTCAATGAATATGTTATCATGCATTTAAGAGAGAAGGTATTTAAAATTAGTCCCAATTTCTTGGACAGCAAACCCCTTATCATCATGAGTAATGACTTTGAGTCTCTGGGGAAATATGCGTTTTCTTTCACCCAGACAGAAATGATTCCATTTTTTGCTGCTCGTAGGTTAAAAGACTTGTTTCTCTCTAGCTGAGGAGTCAGGAAACTTTTTCTGTAAAAGGCTAGATAATAAATAACTTAGGCTTTGTGAGCAAGATGGTTTCTACTGGGACAATTCAAGTCTGCCATTGCAGTATGAAAGTAGCCACAGCAAATACATAACATAAATATACATTTATTTATTTTACTTTATTTACAAAAACAAGCATCAAGCTAGATTTAGCCCTAAGGCTGTAGTTTGCCAACCCCTGTCCTAGACCAAAAGTCTTAGGCTTCTAAAACCTCTTTTAATTGTTGTGCTACAATGGAAATCAAGTCACTATGCTGTTTTTAATTCAGTTTCAATATTGAGAACCAGTCCTTCTTGGAATGTGCAGCATGTGCTAGATTTTTAAAACAGGAGTTTAAGAAAAAGTCAGGTACAAGAACAAAGGTTGGCTTAGAAGACAGCTTTTGAGGGCTGGTAACAAAGGACAGACGTGTCTACTGCTTGGCAACAGTAAAAGAGCTTTATTTACTGACATATTTACTGACATGGCCATTGTTCTCTAGTTCTGACTTAACAGGACATGCTTTAATTCACTGTTAAGTCTTCATTCTCACTGCCTAATACCCAGAACCTTCCAAAGTCAATGTACAAGTTCATTATGTTATGATTTCATCATCTGCTCACACTTTCTTTATCTTGGTAAAATAATCCATAACCATGATATTGATAAAACTGATCAAAATTGACCAAGAAGACAAAAAGGCAAGCTACAGAATGGGAGAAAATATTTGTAATTTGTACCTGACAAATTAGTTGTATATAAAATATCAAAAGGACTCTTAAACCTCCGTAATAAGACAAACGATCCAATTTTAAAAATGAGTAAAAGATTTAGACACACTTCACAAAAGAAGATATATGTATAGCTAATAAGCA